CTAACGATCGTAGTGACCCCTCAGGCAATTGATTCGCTACACACAGCATAGCTAATCGTAAAGAACTAGCAATAAGATCAACGAGAAGTATCCTTTTTAACGAGGGCCTGTCGCAATATGAATAATAAAACGGATGATCACACGCAACTTGCTTTGAACGAAAAGTTAGTTTAAAAATAACAGTTAAATCTATGCTTAACAGAACCAGCAGATGTTACAGACAAATTCATATTTGTAGAGGCTAAATAAAGTCAGAGGACTGAAATTCAATTCGAGGAAGGCATACAAGCTGGCTATAGAAAACACTGGACAGTTTGGTGGATCTTCCCTATTTTTCCTAGCTAGAATCCGTTCCTTTCCCAGTAACTGCACTAAGCGGTAATTCAGCTGGCCCCATAATTAACCATTATAACCGAAGCATGCTTCATAAAACGATCCTCTGCATAAATAATGCAAAATGTCCTAATAAGATCAATGTTTCAGTATGTAACCACCAGAAGTTTCTTGAAGTTGGATGTTCGCATTGTTTATATCCTGGATTACAGCATCGGCAAGTTCCTCCTTTCGTTCTTTTTCTCGACTTTTCGTACATTCTCCCTTGCGCAGTACTGCGCTTCCCAGTTCTACATTTAGCGCACTGATTGATATTCGCTGTTCCCATCTAGAACAAAGTATGTATTTTAAATTTAAATATTTTATGGTTATGAAAAAGCATCCACTGCACCATCGTCTGCTGCGCATTTCGAATCTGGTGCTGAACAAATCATGCGAGCAACGAATAACGTAGGCGTCACCAAACAATGACGTAAAAACGTTCCTCAGAATTTTTTACTGTCTTTTATCAAAATCGCCTTCAAAACCAGGTTGGAGACTGGGCGTTAATAAATGTCATTAGAATGTTTTTTCTCGAGGGGCACAGCTACGCTCAGATTTTCGAACCTACATGCTTTTTCCGTCTTCAGGGGAAGTATAGTTGCAAAGCTGACGTTTAAAGAAACCAAAGGAAGGGTACCACTGAGAAAGGAGCCAGCGGCTTAAATTTGATCTAACACGGGAAAACTCACGTGGCCCAGACATCGTGAGACTGACAGATTGGCACTCCGATGTTGTATATGCAACGCTTCTTTAAAGAATTTGCAAAAATCCGTTTCCGCATCAGTGGTAAATGCGACAAATATTTTCAGCTTTTTTTTGCAAAGTAACAGCAAACATGCTGAAATTAATAAAAATAAACAAAAAATTACCCAGTTCCATGTTCGGCAACATATCGTAAGGGAATTCGAACAGAAGCAAGTGCGCCCTCAAGTTTGCTAAACGATGTTCCACTGCTAGGCATTGCTTTAACGGCTGTTTTTAAGCAGTTTATAAAATAAGACAAATAACATTCGCCAGGCGAATCAGTGCCTTGCCACATCTCGAATTTGCCATTTTTCGCACGCACTTCCACATTTTCCTAAAATTTTGGAATAAACTAATAAAAGTGAGCGAAAATTCAAGACTGTTTGAGTAGTCGACTAATGTTACTAGGATGCCTCGCGCACTAGGCACAACTATGTCAAATCCAAATCCAGGACTACCTTCATTTAAAGACTTATCAATAGACGCTAGGTAAAATACCTAAATAAATTTCAAATTTTATTTATGCTTGAATAGAAATTCAAAGGAACTAATAGCATTTCATTATTTGCGCTCTCTGATGTAAATAAAATATGTCGAACTGATACTCATATTTTTGACACTCCTACCGTTGGAGTTTCATGATTTCTTAACAAAGTGCGCTTTGCGTTTTAGGCATGAATTTCGGTCAAAAATATTTCATTTTCTAAATGAAAAATTAAAAAAAAACAACTGAAAACTATTTCAGGGAAAATGTGAATTTCTAGTTGCCTTATAAGCTTTCAAGTACCAGAAGACAAATTACGGTGGACTTTTCTGATGCATTATAACATTTGATGTTTGAAGTAACTCTAAGTTAGGAGAGTTATCCTACGACCCAGATATAACAAAGTCTGATATTTTATCAGGTACCACACAAAAACTACATGTGTCTTTGGCGTTTTGATGTCTCAAAATATTTCCCCGATTCAGTGGATATTTTTTTGATAAAAATATGCACATACTTTTGAAAATGCAGCTAAAGTGGCGGCCGCAACGAAATTCTTCGCTTCAGCGTCATCCCAGGATGGAAAAATTCCTTCCAAAACAATAACGTCATTGACAAGAAGTGCTGATTTGCCATCTTCGGCGCTCTTCACTTCCCACTTGTATTTCAGACGTGATGTCAGCTGATTGAGCTGCTTCAGCGGATCAGCGCCTTTCTCAAGAATGCTTAGCTGCGCTTTCAACATTGAAACACCCTGCAAAAAATGTTGCATTTTTTACATCTTTTCAAAAAAATCGCATAAATTTTGTTGTTTCTATCACTAACCTTTCTCTTCGCTGCACATGGCGAATTTTCAGCAATATCATCAAAACTATTCTTCTCCAATTTTGGCTTCTTGGAGGTGGACGGTTCATGATCAAAAGGTCGCTTACGATCCTGCAAATCTAAATTCGTAATTTTCTGCTGAAAAAAAAATTTTAAACACTACAATGTTTAAGGCGCATTTATTATATTTTCAGAACCCCTCTTTCAATAAGTATATTTCCTACAGGATGTTGCAAATACAGCGTTTTGCAAATGTATATGGTTCTAGAAAAATCGAATTCCTGATCTTCACTATTTCCTAGTCCTTCGAATGACGTGATAACCACCAGACTACTGGCCCTGTGCTTCATTTCTAACATTCGAGTACATGTGTGGTATGGCTCCCAAATTCTTGTACACACCGTATTGTTCAGCAGTGCTGACACAAAAGTCGCGAATTTCTCAGTTTTTGCCGGTTTTTCGAGAATATCTACGTTATAAGAACTGAACTCGGAGCTGTAATCTCCAACTATTAATTGAACCTGGGCAGAAAAACGTCGCTGAAAAATGATTCTTGACCAATTAGCTGTGGCCTAACCAATTTTTTCATCCGTTTAAACAATATCAGAAAAAAAGAAAAATTGTTGTATACAACAGCTCGAAATATTTCGAGTGCCAGTTCAATTTTAAAAAGTCAAATCAAGTCAAAATTCCCTCTGCATTCACTTTTTCTGAGAGACAAAAGCACTAGATAGTGGGCGAAGTGATAGTACGTGCCAACAGGAACCGTTTTCTAGCAAACTTTTGATGGTCCCTTCTTTCTAGAAAAGCTTAGAAGCATAATTACGGCGAGACTGACTCCACGGCATAGACCAATATCAATTTATCAACAAAACAAACTTAGTGATTCCGCCAGCTAAGTAAAACCTTCGACCTTCACGATTCATTATTTTATAAAAACATTTGCATTTTTTTTTTCAAGATTAGCAAAAGAATCAAAGAACATGTGGCAGCCAGGTGCAGGAAAACTTTAGGAGAACAACAGAAAAAGTGGAAAACGAAAATGGCAGATCGGAAAATTTATTTCGATGGATAGAATATTTCTTCGTCCTTCGAAATAATTTTGCAAAAGACTTT